GGGATCCCAGATGCAGCAGACTCTGTCAGAATTTCCTGGGGAAATCTAAGCTTCTGATAGGCAATTCCTTTGCATCTGGAACCCTCTAAAAGTATCCAATAAAGCCAGAGAATTTGGAAGGTTCTGCTCATTTAACAGAACTCAGGGAAAGGTGGAGAACATTGATTTAACGTGAGTGCCAAAAGAACATAGAAAAGATGAAAGAAATGCTTTTTGTAATCTGAAAGGCAGCGCCTGAGACTGTGGTGGAGATAGGTTCAATCATGGCTTTCAAAACAGAATTGGAAAACTGTCTGAAGAGAAAAGTACTTGCAGGGCTATAGAGATTAGCTGAGGTAACATTCTGAGCTGTATCTATTTTATGACTCTGTAACGTCAGTAATATCAATTACCATAAAAAGGTGCACCATTACTAACGTTGTATTGCACTTGGACATAAAATATCACCTTGGCATAAAGAATGGCGGAAATTAGAGTCAAGAGCTGTACAGCATGGAAACAGACCTTTCGGTCCAACTTGTCCATGCTGACCAGATATCCTGAATTAATCTAGTCCCATTTGCACCATATCCCTCTAAACGCTTCCTATTCACATATCCATCCAGATCCTCTTATCAGTAGTAATTTTACCTGCCTCCACCACTTCCTCTGGCAGCTCATTTGATACACATACTACACTCTGTGTGAAAAAGTTGCCCCTTAGATCCCTTTTAAATCTTTCCCCTCTCACCTAAAACCTATACCCTCTTCTTTTGGCCTCCCCCAACTGGAGAAAAGACCTTGGCTATTCACCCTATCTATGCCCCTCATGATTTTACAAAGCTCTATAAGGTCATCCCAGCGAAAATAGCCCCAGCCTATTCAGCCTCTCCCAATAGCTCAAGACCTCCGATCCTAGCAACATCCTTGTAAATCTTTTCTGAACCCTTTCAAATTTCATAACACCCTTCCTATAGCAGGGAGACCAGAATTGCATGCAGTATTCCAAAAGTGGCCTAACCAATGTCCTGTACAGCCGCAACATGACCTCCCAACTCCTATTCTCAATGCAACAACCAATAAAGGCAAGCATACCAAACACCTTCTTCACTATCCTGTCTGCCTGCGACTCCACTTTCAAGGAACTATGAACCTGCATTCCAAGGCCTATTTTTTCAACAGCAATCCCCAGGACCTTACCATTAAGTGTATATGTTCTGCCCTGATTTGCCTTTCCAAAATGCAGCACCTCACATTTATCTAAACTAAACTCCATCTGACACTTCTCGGCCCATCAGCCCATCTGATCAAGATCCCGTTGTACTCTGAGGTAACCTTCTTGGCTGTCCACTACACTTCCAATTTTGGTGTCATCTGCAAACTTGCTAACCATACCTCTATGTTCACATCTAAATCATTGATGTAAATGATAAGAACCAATGGACAGCATTGATCCTTGTGGCACTCCGTTGGTCACAGGCCTCCAGTCCAAAAAGCAACACTCCACCACCACCTTCTGTTTTCTACCTACCAGCCAGTTCTGTATCCAAATAGTTAGTTTCCCCTAACCTTGCTAACCAGTCTACCACGAGGAACCTTGTCAACCTTACTGAAGCCCATATAGATCACTTCCACTGCTCTGCCCTCATCAATCCTCTTCGTTACTTCTTCAAAAACTCAATCAAATTAGTTAGACACAATTTCCCATGCACAAAGCCATGTTGACTATCCCTAATCAGTCCTTGACTTTCCAAATACATGTAAATCCTGTCCTTCAGGATGCCCTCCAAATACTTGCCCACCACTGATGTCAGGCTCACTGGTCTATAGTTCCCTGGCTTTTCCTTACCACCAAAAATGGAAAGTTTGATTGTGGAGACAGAGCTCAAATGTCTGATCCTTTAAATCAGTGGAGAAGAATGTCAGCGGGAGTTCTTTATAATCATGTAGTTTTGTTTTTCTCATCTCATTTTCCGCTGCTCCCAAGCATTGTGGTTATTTGAAGAGAAACTATTCCTTTAGCTCATGTCTTTACCTCTAGAATATCCATGGCTTTTATCCAAACAATCAAACTTGAAATCAGCAGGAAGTAAAATCCTCTCAATATCTTAAATGCTGGACAAAAACCAAACAAAATTGTTGTAAGACGCATTGAAATCATTTCTGCTGCAAGTATCTGTAATGGTTCAAATCGTACAAATATTGTGTTATATTATATTTATTGTGCTTAATGAGAAGTCACAGGTTTAATGCTCAGTCCGTGCTAAATTACTTGATCTTAGCCATCAAGATAATGTCATCAGATTTATTAATAACATTTGACTAATGTTTCGCTTCATATTGTAGTACATCAGCAATCTGAATGGTTTGTTTGTATTTTTATTTATAAATATTGTGCATTTCCTTATACTGTATATTTAAACTGTATACATTTTCAACCATTACAAGCTGTCAGTCACATGTTTCTTGTGTGTCTGTAATTTATTAAATAAAACAGTGCAGTACCACAGAAATATCAACCAGTTATATGGAGATACACAAGAACACGGTGCAGTATATCATCTTAATTCACAAAAAAAAAACAACTTACTACTAAATCCAATTAAGCCCAGTAGCCAGAGATGGTATCCTGGCAGCCTTTGCATTTAGCTAACAGTCTGATATAGTTCTGATATGAACGTTATCTTTATCACTTAAAGTTATTTTAAAGAACATACATGATCTTCATGTTCCACAGTGAAAAGAGGCCAAAATAGCCCAGTTAACAATGTCTTTCTGACAAGTCAAATGCAAAGACAGTGGTTCAGTCTAGGCTGGGCTTGCTTGTTAAAAGGTGATGTTTTGGATGTCAATCCTCAGCAAAATTATATCACAGTGAGGAACAATTGCTCTAGATTGGCTATAAGGGAAAACAAAAAAAAAGAATGTGAGACATATCCATCAAAAGGAACTCTCATTCTTTGGGGATGAAAGGGCAGAGAGGCAAGAATCCAGAAAACTCGAGTTATATTTGTTACCTTGACATCACAAGAAAATTGATATTTTCAAACAACACAAAATTACAACATCTTATTGCACATTTAAAAGACAGTCATCA